AGAGTTCACGATATTCAAGCACAGATTCATCCTCACCTTGGCCTAGGTGGCGAAGGAGGTGGCAAGGGGAGGTAAGGAGAAGAGAATGAGGCGAGGTGCTCCACGGCGGCTAACCACGCCGGGTTGATCGAGCTCCGAGGGTGATGCTGCGGCGGCGCATGGCTCCGGGAGGACTCCGGCTCCTCATCAACGTGAAACACAGGGGCAGGGCGGCTGGAAGGGGGGGCTACGGGTCCATCCCGAAGGTAGTGGACTCGCGGCTGCTCCACCGCGCCGGCGGACGATGATGGCTGCTCCGGGAGCGGCTATGGTGGTCACCAGAAGGCGGGGAAGACGAACGGCGGGACATGGTGAAGAGAGAGAGGATGTGGCGATGAGAGAGAAGGAAAGAGGAGAGAGAGAGATGGTGGAGAGAGAGTACTACGGCGCCGGAAAGAGAGAGAAGAGAGTTCTAGGGTTTCTCTGTTCTCTGGAAAGTTTAGAATGAAGAAAAAGAATGGGAAGGGCTCTCTATTTATACCCATTGAGAGACTTGGATAAAAAGTAAAGATAACCACGAAAAATAAAAAAATAACTATGAATAAGAATATTCACAATTCATTTAGAAAAAAAGTTCATTAATATCACATTAAAAATGTAATATTTATCTAAACCAGGAATTAATTATCTCTCGAAGGAAAAAATAAATATCAAGAAATAGAAAATTGGCTTAAACCGACTTAGTTGGAATTGAATTTTCCAAACGGACCTGGTTTGTAAGAATCGAGTCGTTACATATATCGTGGCTTCTTACAAAACCAATGTTTCTAGTTTTTTGTATGCTAAACATGAAAAAAAAACTGGCTGATCTTACATCATTTTTTTATAGGGAACACATCGTGAAATTGTTCAAGCTATCCACCATAAGCTCTAGTAATTAGTAAAGCAATTAGAGGACTCTAAACAAATAGGATAATAAATTTTTCAACAAAACGAAAAAAGAAATAGGTAATAATTTATGAATAGGAAATTAATATGACGCGGTGAGTAAAAAATTAGCTTTTAGTCACACATCTGCTGGTGTCGTTGCTTTACGCAACATCATGCATCTCTTCTTCTATTGTTCCCAATTTTTATATATGTATAACCTTTTTTTCTTATTTTCAATTATTTCCTCATTATGTATGTAAAAGCATTTATGTATATATATATATATATATGTATCATCGTGACCGTAATATTGAAACCGAAATAATTAGTTTTGTTAGGACCACTAAATAAATATTGATTTGTATTTGAATATCCATGTGTGAGTGTATCTATTAAATTGTTCTCTAAAGGATGTGCGGGCCACTTTTAAGTACAAGACAATAAGATTTGGAATAGCCCAACGTGATTAAGAGTAACTTCTTCCAATCATTTCATCGTGTTATTGAATTATGAATTATTGTGCCTAATCAAATCTTTAATAATAAAAAATAACTAGGTATTTATCTATGGTAGCATTTATTTGGTACTTGCTTGCTAATAGCTTTTCCTAACAAGATTAAAAGAATAATACTTGCGACTATTGAAAGAGTGAAAAATATAATGCAAAACCGTAATCATTTGAGTGGTTATATTCCTGTGGCAAGTGGTGAAGATTCATCTAAAACAAACATGAGTATAGTGCCATAGTGGCATAAATATTAGTATATAGAAGCAGCAATCCCTATGAAAGTCAAAAATGTTGCATGAAATTAGCAAAATATTCCGGTAGAGGAAAGAAGTGATGGGTTTTGTGTATGTAACAGAATTGCACCCCACATATATCTTTTCTTTAGCCCCAAAATTATGTTATGTTATATATATCCACTTGTCAACTACAATTATAAATACTTTTGAATGTGAGTTTAGGTTATAAACACATCGATGATGGTATACAAACCATTAAGCTACAAATGCTAACCAGGTAATGAGTATATTTTGAAGAAATCGGGATATTACTGCTTTTTTGTATGGGCAAAATAGATAAATTATATAGGCATATTATATATGGGTTCAAAATTCAGCTTCCCACTGTGAGACTTATAATTAAAATGTATGTAGACTACAAATGCGTTTATCATTTTTCGAGTATCTACCGTCTATGATAATAATATTATTGTATTTAATAAATAACAATATTATTTTAGGGATAATTTTTAAAATGATACACTTGTCAATTTTAGTATGAAATATAACCCATCCTAAAATGATTTATAAGAGGGATCATCTAGTGTGTTTTTAATCTGCCACTAATTTGCATGTCAATAGTCTACATTCAGTTGTAAGACCAATCAGTTTGTCAATAGTCTCTATTCAGTCTGTCATTAAACGACAAGTAAAAGTAGTTAGAAGGGTACCGCTGATGTTTAAAAAAAAAACGTAAGATAAAGATCATTTTCACAAATTTCCTTCAATAGAGTACCCAATTCACATTATTTTCTCATTCTAGATTATTTTAAAATATTTTCTCATCATTTTATCGTCTATGAAAAATGATAGAATTTTTTAATAGGCAAAAAAGAATAGATTTTAATCGTTTTAGACAATTTTATCTCTTTATTTTTACTGTTATGATATCTGTAATTTTTTATGTGACTAATTTACAAACATATACTTCATTTATATAAATGAAATTTTATACAATTTTATTCCTATCATCCATGATGTATAATTTTTTATACTCTCTAATTGTTTTATCAGTAAAAAATCTATGTTTTTATCAGAATTGCTTACTTTAAAGTGTATATATATATTTTCAATAACATGAATTATATGGATTTTTTACTGATAGCTGTCATTTAAAAAAAAATATACAATTTATAATCTTCAGAATAATTTTTAAATGTTCTTAAAAACATACTAGGTATATCATTTACCATGAGTTTAGTTCTAGATGGTTGCTGTCACTTGCCCACACAAAATGTAATACTTATACATTTAAAAATAAAGCCAATTATATATTATAAATAATTATAAAAAAGTATTTCTTACGTTTCGCAATTATGTATTTTTATAAAAAAGGAATTTGCAAAAACGCAAGAAAAATGTGTCGTGATAAAAGTTTTTTGGTTTTAATATCAAGGTAATATAATAAAATCTAATCCAAGTTTTAATAATTTCCAACAAATAACTATTTTTGTAGGATAGCAAATAGTGTGCAGCCAAAAACACTATAATATGATGAACTTCTCTTTGGTTTGGGTTTAAATTCTCGTGATGATGTAAACATTTTTAACTACAACTTCAGATCTCTATAAATTCGATTATCATTTTAAATTATTTTAATAACATGATAATTTTTGGATAAAAACTTAAACTAATCCCTAAAGCATGTAGTAAAGTGGGTATTTTTGTCAGTTACCAAAGTAATCGTCGATAATATTTGAAATCATTAGTTGGTAAAATTTGAACTGTAACCTAAACCCACATAAAAATATTTCATCACTCTAACTCAACCACTAGACCAACATTACTATTACTTTATTTAAATTCAATTATTTTGTTGCAAATACCCAATAGTTTTCGAATTTTCTCCAAAACACCAAAAGTATTATGAGTCTTTTTACTTATTTTATTTCAACGTGTTATAAGTTGTTCATCTCAGTAAGCCTACTTTAACGACAATTGTTTCAAGTCTTAAGATACCCAGTTGATCACTAGCTTTCAACTCTCTATTTATAAATATTAATTCTGTTATTAATTATAAAGTAAGAAAAGAAAAAAAAGTCGTGGTGTTGTCTCTTCACAATAACAAAGACTTATATGCTTACAATTTTTTTAGCCTAACATGCCACCGATGAATGCACCTAATCCTATAAACACCGGCCAGTGCATGTCGCCTCCTAATTATGAACCATGTATGCCTATGAATCATTATTTTCTTGATAATCTTATATATTAAACAACTAATCAAAAGTTCTTGTGTAGTCGTCATAGCAATTAACAATATGTATATTCTTATTATTTGCTGTCGTGAACATTTTTGTGTTTAGTTCTATCCATTTCGGTTTTCATTGAAAGCTTCGTTTTGATGACGTGGACCTAAAGTGCGTGAAAGTAAAAACCTTTGTTTCTTGATAGAACTGAATGTTCACACTTCACACTTCAAATTTAAAACAAAATGATAAAAACAAATTAAAAAAAACGTGAATCGGTGGCCTAAGTGCCACTCAACACTACTAATGAACCTTTGCCTAATTCAGTGGTTAACCCTTCACGGGTTTCACTTTCCCTTTTATTTCCTACTTTTTTTGAATAAAATTATATCATTCACTCGGTATTAATACATTAGACATAATAATAATTCTCTGTTAATTATGCAAATATGAATGATTCAAGATCTAAGAATTTGATTAATCAGACCAATTATATAAATATGTTTGTTATTAGAAAGTATGTACTAGAAGAAGCTGTCTAATTTAATACTACTATAAATAAACGTCACGAAGGGTTGACTTCTGGTACATAGATCTAGGTAAAGATCAGATTTCGAAGATATGGATTAAAAGTAGATACAACAGAACAGAAACTAGAAAGAAAGAAGACATAGATTAGTTTTGTTTTTCTTCATCATTAATCATTTTTTTCGTTGATTTCATTTTTGATGGAATTTGGCAGAGAAATGCAGAAGTGTCAGGTAATGGGTATAGAGTGAACCGTCAAAATGTTATTGGTTAATAGAAAATATTATAAAATAATAATGTAAAGTGGATCGATATGTGTAAAATCTTTTGTGGAGTAAACTAAAAAGATTAACAACCACCAACCTTATAACCTCTCCCTTTGTATATATATAAATAAGCAGCCCCACCATCGTCTTCCTCACTGCCTCTTCTCTCTTCTCTCTCTCTCTCTCTCTCTCTTGTTAGTTCACTCCACATAATAAACACCAAAAATCTCATTAATTTCGAAATTTCTTGAATTGAGTTTGTTTCTTGATTGGTTTTCTTGAATTGGGCTGTTCTTGTTTTTTACTATTTTTAGTGTTAACAATCATGATGAGTCAAGATCATGAAGTTGGGAGCGATCAGACGCAAATCATAAAGGGGAAGCGAACGAAGCGACAGAGATCATCTTCGTCGACGTTTTTGGTGGCGGCGACGACTACCGTCACTTCCACAAGTTCATCGGCCGGCGGTGACGGCGGAGGAAGATCAGTTTCCGACGAATACAACTCGGCGGTTTCGTCTCCGGTAACTACAACTGATTGTACTGAAGAAGAGGAAGACATGGCGATTTGCCTCATCATGCTTGCGCGTGGAGCGGTTCCATCGCCGGATCTCAAGAACTCGAGAAAAGCTGACAGAATTCTTCTTCAGAAGATTTCATCGGAAAATTCTAGTTTCTATGTGTACGAGTGTAAAACATGTAACCGGACGTTCCCGTCGTTTCAAGCGCTCGGTGGACACAGGGCGAGCCACAAGAAGCCGAAGAATTCAGTAGACGAAAAGTCTAAACTACCCTTGATGCAGCAAAAGTCTAGTGCCTCAGAGGAAGGGCAAAACGGTCTGTTCAAAGTTTCCGGCCCAGCCCTAGCTTCACAGGCAAGTAACATCATCATCAACAAGGCAAACAAAGTACATGAGTGTTCCATCTGCGGCTCTGAGTTCACTTCCGGACAAGCCCTCGGTGGCCACATGAGGCGGCACAGGACATCCACGACTGCGGTTATACCAGCCGCTACAGCCGAAGTTAGCAAAAACAGTACAGAGGAGGAGACTGATAATTTAGACCTTTCGATGAAACGGAGGAAATATCTACCGTTGGATCTTAATCTACCGGCACCAGAAGATGATCTAAGAGAGACAAAGTTTCAAGGGATAGTGTTCTCAACCACACCAGCGTTAATAGATTGCCATTACTAGTTGTTTAAAATTGAATGTTTAATTACATAATACGAAATTTGTGAATTCTTCTTACTCTATTGTTGAATTGGAATTATTTCTAAAAGTTGAATCAAATATAAATTAGATTTTTTAAAAGAGGAAAATGAACTGTGCAAGTTATTATGAATAAGAGGGGAATATAGTGGGAGTTAAGTAAAGGGTTGTGTGATAGTTAGATGATCTACTTGTTGAAGTAAGAATAGTTTGAGTAAGCAAGTGGTTAGTGTTCATGGTTGCCTTTCATTCACGAAAAGCAAGTGACTTCCAAGGCATCTTTTCTTTCCCTCTTTTTAAGGTATATTTATATTTATATTTTCTCTTTGTTTAACAAAAATACAAATTATGAGTTTTTTTCTTCATCTTTTTTTTTTTAAAACATGTGAACCAACAGCATTGTTTTGCTTGTAGACGCATCCTTCTCCACGATTACGCAGCCAAATGCTATGTTGTGGTATTCTACTACTTCAAACAAAATATGCCATAGCATAAAAAATACAAAGAACAAACATAAACAATCTACAAAAAAAATAGAAATAGAAAACATTTTTAAATATCTACTGGCCACTTTGAGCCTTTTCAGTGACAAAGAAAAACTATTCTTTTATGGATCGTAAATTTCTTTATTTCAGATTTTGACTTCCAATTTATCCGTTATAAAAAAAAGTCTACAAAAATACTACTAATTAATTTGTTTGATTTGTATATCTAATAATGTTTCGTTTACGACTTTAAGATAAATATATATGGATCAATGCCATTTTCCCATCATTCACATTTCATAGACCAATATTTTGTAAATATACACATATAGATTAACCCACGTTCGAATTCTTAGTTTAATATTAGACACGTTAAACTTTTTAATAAACAAAAAAACTTTATTTTTCAAGAAATTCCAAAATTAGTTTGAAATTATTACTCGGTCACAGTGACCATATTATACCGTTTCCCATTTAGTATAGATTTTTTTTTTTGGTATTAGTGTTAAAATCCATCAATATAGATAATAAATATTATCATTCAGCGTTTATTATTAATAGTAGTATGTATTTAATGGAATCGTTTTCAAACGTAAAATATTATATACCTTTTAACTCAATGTATCATTTATGACTTTTTTTACTATCAAGACACCCACTATTTTCTCATCATTCCCATTTCATAACCAACATTTTGCAAGCATGCTTATAGATTATACCGCGTCCAAATCCATAATCTAAAATGATTTAAATTACTAGAGAAACGTTATAAATAAATGTGAATTGATAAAACAGAAAGGCAGTGGACACGAGATGGACGTGGTGGCCGGCTTAGGGTTTGGCAGGAGAATCACCACCACAACTAATAGACGTGGATTAGGTTCTTCTTTGGTTCTGAGTTGTTTTTGCTGGTCACCACATTTACACTTTTATTATATCTGAATTATTTTAATCAATATTTAACGGATTTACAATTATTACAACGGAACAGAAAAAGCAAAAAAAAAAATTGAATAATTTTAAAGAATGGGAAAAGATAAACAGTGACAGCAGGAAACAGTCACAAGATTCACTCACCGCTTCACTCCATTGCTTCCAATGCTTGCCCTTATAAAATTATTCTTGCAGTTGCATCTATGATCCAACTTTTATGATTAATATTAAATTTTAAAAATATATTCTTGTTTTATCGTGATCATAATTTCTCAAATCAATTTTATTTTGTTAGGAATTTATTCTAATAATTAGTGAGAAAATTATAGAGTAACACAATCAGTACGGTTTTTCTTCACTCTCATTCTCTAAATCACTAAAATTCATGTGTATTTTCGTGTGTGCAAAAATAGCCATATGTACTATAAGCAATAAAAACACAAGTGACGAAAAGCACACTTGAATGTAAACAAGTTGGCTGTCATTTACCGATCCACAAGTCCGATACATCAATAATTCTTACACATAGTACACGAGTCCAAAATTTCGAACCAAAACAAAAATAAAAGTACACGAGTCCACATCATAATAAACATTGTTTGGTAAAAAAGTATACTAAGTATATGATTGAGTTTCAATTTTTAAATTACTAAGTGAAAATAAGATTAGACTGCAAATAGGAATAGTATAGAATAGAATTAGCAATATGTGAGATGATATATCTATATTTGAGCATGACTAAAAGAATCCGTATGCTTTTATTTATTGTCTTTGATACATGTTGACTGCATTTAGCTTATTCTTCTTCAGACGAGTTCTGCAATTTTCATACGTATGTTGCTTGTTTTATCTGCAATAATTATTAGTTTGTTCTTATATATGGCTTCATTCGGAACATCTGTAGATGGGTTCAATGATATTCTGGCCCATTATTATTGACTGTTTAAAATAGAAAATGTTTTTTCTTTTAATAAGTTTTCATGCAGTTTACACTTTTGCTTTTGAAACTCAACACCTCTCAATTTTTAGCTTATGACAAAGTCAAGTATCTCTTATTAAATAGTTAGTAAGATTATAAGATATAGTAATTAATTATGGGGATAGACCAGGTTGCTTTCCGTTCTAAGGCAATTCGTTACGCCTAATTAAAATAAAAGTCCCTTACTTAGCAAGTCATGTCGCACCACCCGCTCTCTCCAACCATTATATCGTGCCATTTGTACCCCTAGGATTCACAAATAATTACGATCTTTTTTTCTTTTGAGTGTAAGAAAGCATTTTTGGACAAAAAAGTAGAAGTATTAAGATTCAACATTTGATGCATCGATGATTTCTAGATTATTCTTTGAAGAGCTTTAATTGAGAACAACTAGAAATTGATTTATGCATTGTGCAGAATTATTTATAAATTCAATTTTAAATTTTATAATTTTATAATTTTATTTACTATATTATTATTGTGGTAATTTGTTTATTTATTTTGTGTTTTTAAAATTAAAATATAACTCTTATTTTTCATTATTTTAAATATGTGAGATTATTGTAAAATTATTTCTCTAATAAAATTGTGATGTGTTAATTAAATTTTTTTTTTTTCTTATAATGATACATTGTTATAAATATTTATGTGTAATTTTATTTTATTTTAGTTTATAGCGAGATTAACAAAATTAAATCACCACCTCTCACTCACTCTTTTTTTTTTTATTCGAAATAGTACTCTTAATTTGTATTTTGAAAACTTTTTGCAGAGTGATTCGCTCATCCAATTTTTTTACTTTATAATTCCATATTTTTATATTAATATTATGTTCACATTTTGAATGTATATTTTTTTTAATTTTAAATGATGTTTTAGGTTTTTTACCATCCTAAAATATATTTTTAATAGAAATGTAAGGTGTTAATTGTTAAAAAAACTCAGTTTTATATTTATATGTTATTGTATATATCTATATCTTCTCACTTAATATATTTATTCAATTAGCTTTTTTTTTTCTATGTCAATTATTTCTAGTGAGATCAACAAAATAAATTCACCATCAATCTCACCAACTCTCGTTCTCTTATTCGAAATCATATTTTTTGTACCACTATGTTTTCTTTTTTTTATTAGTTATTTGTTCTTTGTTAATTTTAAACGTTGTTGTTTTTATTATCCCTAAAATATGTAGAGATATTGTAAAATTACTTTAATATAAACTATGATGTGTGAATTGTTAAAAAGATTCGTTCTTATACTTATATGTTGTCGTATGTATCTATATTTTTACTGAAGGTTTTCATTCATTTAGCTTTTCTTTTTATGTCGTTTATTTTTATTGAGATCAACAAAATAAATTAGGGATTCTTGCAAAAATGATCTAAAATTTGATTTGAATTGCAAATCTAACCCACAAAAATCACCTTCCCAACATTTGCCATTTTGTGTCCAATCAATCCTTCATAGTTTCAGTTATTCACGAAATTGCTATTATTTTTAATTAATTTCTTTTATTTTCGGAAATCCAAATGACCAACTAATCCTCATCTTCCTCACTTATTTACGAAAATGCTCTGAAAGTAGACTTCTCTTGGTCCGAATGAAGTCTACTAGTCAACGCCCATGTTAGTTTTGCAATTGACCGCATGAAAAAGTAGACTTCTTTTGGTCCGAATGAAGTCTACTCCATTTCCTTTGATAACAAAAAAATGGAGTAGACTTCTCGAGTAGACTTTTTTAGAAGCAGGTCATTTTTGCAATTGACCAACCTTTGACTTTGTAGAGTAGACTTCTCTATGCAAAGTAGACTTCTCCGAGAAGTCTACTTTCGTAAGTAGACTTCTCGCAGGTCATTTTTGCAATTGAAAAATATTTGAATTTTTGGTCAATTGCAAAAATGACCTGCGAGAAGTTTACTTACAGAAGTAGACTTCTCAGAGAAGTCTACTTTTCAGAGTAGACTTCCCCGAGAAGTCTACTTTCGTAAGTAGACTTCTCGCAGGTCATTTTTGCAATTGACCAAAAAGTCAAATATTTTACAATTGCAAAAATGACCTGCGAGAAGTCTACTTACGAAAGTAGACTTCTCGGAGAAGTCTACTTTTCATAGAGAAGTCTACTAATATTTTGGCAATTGCAAAAATAACCTGCGAGAAGTCTACTTTTATCCGAGAAGTCTACTTTTCTTCTTTTTTAAAAAAAATCATTTTTATACAATATATAACAAATTTTTAAGATTTTCGCGATCCTAAGCTTCTGTTATTAAGTTTTCTTGCTTATGTATAAGTTTTGCATGTTTATATTTTATAGGTATAGTCGAATGAGTTTTCATGTTTTATATGATACTTAGCTTATTAAGAGTAGACTTCTTAGTCTACTCTAGAAGTCTACTATGTAGACTTCATCCGACTTTCAGAGAAGTCTACTTATGCAATTTTGATGTCTAATGTGGTTTGGATTTTGTTCTTTTTCACAGAGAATGGCTCACATACCCGCTGTTTATGGAGAATGGGTTAAGAGTGAATCAGTGTGGCAGTTCGAGGTGGATAATAGCAAAGGAGGGCAAATGTTGCTCTTAAGAGATG